CTCACCTCCTACTACTCGATAGCTCCCGCGCTGACTCTCCCCACAATATCCGAAGCCTTCAACAGCTTCTTCTCCTCTGCCATGACCTCGGACGGAATCGGCAGCTGTCCAGTCGTACTACCTTTGACAGAAGCGACACTTTCGATGATCTCCTTCATCCATTAAGCCCGGTCCTGACTGACTTCCACCCACTCTGTATCGTTATGGTGGCCCCGACTTAGTTGTTACTCTTTTAAATCTCTTCACTCTTTCACTAAACAACGGTATCTTCCGTGCCCAATGGAAATCCAGTATCATCATTTCCCGCCACAAAAAAGGACCCCTACAAGCCACTGACAACTAACGTCCAATCAATCATACACCCATAATAGCCAGATTATTAGAAAAAATCGTTAAATCTCACATAACACAATACCTGCTGACAACCAGTCTCATAAATGACAGCTAGCATGGTTTTCTGAAACTTCGTTTATGCACGACATGCCAACTTGACTTTTTCAATCTTCTCACGGCATCAGTTGATTGTGGAAAGTCAGTCATAGTATTATTCTTGGACATGTCGAAAGCTTTTGACTGCATCTCACACGCACGACTTCTGGCAAAAATTCGCGGTTACGGTATCACCGGCTCTCTCCTGGCATGGCTCACCTCATACCTCTCAAACCGAACCCAAACAGTTATGGTCAGCGGATCTCAATCGAGCCCCAGACCTATAACAAGAGGAGTCGTCCAATGTAGTGTCCTTGGCCATTTACTCTTCCTCATGTATGTAAATGATATCTTCCTAGTTATAAAATTCGGCGTCCTTTTCCTATTTGCCGATGACATTAAAATCATCTACACGGCTGAGGCAAACGACTCTTCCAGCCTAGTTCAGAAAATCTCAGCCGACTTACTCTCCCTTGAATCCTGGAGCGCAACATGGCGCATGAAGTTTTCAGCAAGCAAAAGCGCTGCCTTTACCTACCGATGCGCCTTATCTCCTGGAACCCAAACCCTTCATGGCTGCCCCATTCCGTTTAGCTCTACTGTAAAGAAGAGCACTGGAAAGTGTTCAGAGGGCATTCACAAAGCAGCTCTTTGGCTCCTCCTTCCAGCTATCTAACAAAGAACGATGAGAAAGCCTGGGACTGGAACCAATCTGGCTGCGCCGTACAAAGCTCAGCTTAGGCGTTCTTTTAATATTCTCCATAAACGGATCTTCTCTTCGACTACCCAGTTAGATTTCAGAAACGAATGTGGCTACCCACTTCGTAATCGAAATTTCACTTTACCCTTGTTCTCCAGGGCCTCCATTAGGGACAACTCCTTTATCTCTGTGTACTCCAAGCTATGGAACAAACTTCCGAGTGAGATCCAATCATCTACATCCATTCACCTCTTCAAAGAAGCAATAAATAAATTCCTCACGGTCTAAACCATGATCTAGCTCACCAACTCTATTTCGACTGAAGAAGACGCTTTTGCACTGGGGCTGCAGTTATAAAACGGAATAAATCATTGTTGCTTTTTCATTTTTTATGCAGACGTGATATAACCTCTTCCAAAAAAGACAGATTTTGCAATACATCATATAATCACGCATAGATCACCACACGAACCTTTTCTTTTTATTACCTTAACTACCGTAAGTATTCCCAACTTCAGTCAGGCACTTTCTTATTCCACTATTTTGACCCTTGCTTCCTAAATAACTATACCACGAAGAAATCTGCTTCGACACTACACATAAAAATTAAAATCCCTTTAATAATTTTTATTTCAGTCTAGGTTAAGAAACCCCATTTGAACATTTTCGCTTAAATGGTGTCGGCGCTATTTGGACAAGGAAAACCTTGTTTCTTCTCCTAAGCTCACAAGCTCCTAACCACTTGATCATCTTCCCTCTGGTATCTTGCCTGCTGAATGTCTTTGACCTTCAGCCAGGTTCTCTCTTGCTTTTCGATTTTCACCTTTGCTTCTTATACATTTTTTCCTCGACGAATCTGTTTTGTCGCTTCAAAGCCAAATCAGAATCACTATTTTTATTTTAGTTAAGGTTTAGGAACCCCGCTTGAGCGTTTCCGCTCAAATGGTGTTGGTGCTCTTTGGGCTAAAATGTCCTTCGTATAACCTAGTTTCTTCTCCTGAACTAACCTGTCTCTACTACCTGATCCTCTTCCCTCTGATATCTTGCCTCCTGAATGTCTCTGGATGGATGTCTGACTATCGTATATCCAACCTGCTTTGCTTCTTAGACGAAGTGACAAGGCGCACTGATCGCGGGGAGCGGG